TGAAACATGGATCATAACAAATTTCCATCTTTATATAGTGCAGCTGCGGTATTGTTCCAATATCTTTGTTATTGCCGACGTGGTAAACGCTCAAAGTGGGGAAGTATACTTCCTCACATGTTTTTTTTTTTAAATTGTATATCAAGGATGGGCTGAATTGGGAGCGTCTATGGAAATAAGCAAGTGAACAAAGTATTAGTCATTGAGCTTCTTTGTCTTTGCAACTAATAGGACCTTCAGTTACACAAACATTTCTTATTGTTAGTAGAATGTTATTTTTCTTGTTGATTGCAAATTGCATTTTCTCTTTTGAATTGATATATATTTTTTATATGCATTTAGAATTTTTGAAAATATTTGCTGAAGCATAGACAGTCTAAATCGAAAACATTTACAAGACGATTCCCTTTAAGACCCTTTAATGATAGTTAAGTTTCTTTAACTTTGCTAAAAATTATACGTACGTCAAACTTTCATTTCGTTATCGTTACTTGTGTAACTGTTTCTAATTTTTCCTAGACTGCAAAACAGTCGGGTTTTTTTTCTCAAAATCAGTAAAGAAATCGGTAAAGCGTGGCGTAGGTCTTGCGTGCGCGAAGCGCGCGAGCCTCACAGGCCTGTAGGGCATGTGAGGCGAGAGAAAAAAAAAACGTATTTTTAGCGTCTCTCCCCAGTCTGGCTCTCTGTTTTCAGTCTCGTTCCAGACCTCTTGTTTGACTGCTCGTGCGTACTTGAATACGCAAAAATACGGATTGTTTTGCAGTCTAAATTTTTCCACATTGAACACTAAAATGTTCCTTGTGTTATGGACTCTAAATCCACAGAGCCTTTTTTTCTAGCGGAGCTCTCGCGGGCGAAGCGCACAAAGCGGAGCACCATGGGTAAGAAAGTGTGGTAATCTACCCATCCGAGAAATTTTGGTAAGCACGTGACAGTACGTCCGACCGTCCGTCGGTGTGCACCACAGGCATACCAATGTAAAATAATTCAGTCAGCAGGTATGGCAACCCAAATTCAACTCGAGGTTATTTTTGGCGGGAAATTGCATAGCCACCCGCATCTTGCAAAGCAGAGACAACTAAAGAGTCAACAAAGACGAAAACGAAAAGCAGAAATGGTTTCTGTATCGTTGTTGTCTAAAGTATTAAGCTCAGCTTAATTGTCATGTCCATAAATTTGAAGAAAAAGAGAGATTAAGCGGTAGGCTAGCAAAGCTCAACGAAAGATCTAGAGCGAGAGATAGAAAACAAAGGAGACAATTTTTCGTTGGAAGAACAAGATGGAAATTTTGTAGCGGTGGTGAAAAAATGAGAAATGCTAGCGGCCACCAATGCAAGGTGAAAATGAGTGGCAGCGAAAACAAAATTAACGAGAACACGCACGACAAAAGATTCCTACAAACACTATAGGCGGCCTCTTTTGACTTGCTGTGTGAAATTGTACTTAATTTACAAATTAATAATTTGTCTTGAAAAGATGAGCTGAGACGGTTGTGCTAGCTTTTTGCGCTTTCCTCGTTCTAAAATAATAGAAACTGCAATGGCTTAACTTTAAAATTATTTTTCAGGCTCTTAAAATGTTCTAAAGATTAAAGCCAGAATACGTGGAAAGCTTTTGAATCTCACTCGACTTTGTTTTTGTCAGTATGCAAATTCTATATCGATGCCATCAAACTAAAATATTCTGTATTTTTTACAACTTTTTTTAATTGCTTTGTTTCATTTTGAATAAATTAATATCATTACGCGATTAAAGAAAATAACCATTCCATACCACAGACAGCTTTTTTTTTTTCGAAGGGCAAGGAGGGGTTCCTTAAACTGAAAATCAAAGACATGGGGGATACTTATTATTAGAATTTTGAAGGCATGGGGGCTAGATCTGGAATTTACACAAGGGACAGACGATATTTTATTTTTTGAAAATGCTTATTTTATGGACCTAACAGGCCATTTGTACTAAGTGGTCATGTGACATCGCTTTTATGAAAATGAAAGTTATATGATTTTGCCTTCGAAAAACGATTAGTAGGTCATATTTTAAACGAAATAATAGTGATTTGGTTTTTCAAACCCGCACCATTTACGTAAAATGAGTAAGTTCGTAGCTGGTCACGTGACCAAAATGTGATGTTTAAAATTATGAATTACCTCTTTTTCTGACAAATTTTGCAGTTAAACGTCAAAGAAAATGTTGAAAAGATAATGTGGTAACGTTTACAGCACATCTAAGCGTAACTATCAAACGTCTAACAAGGTATAAGCAAAAAGTTGTCTTGGCCACCATGTTGGAGAGTAAAAGTATGCCCTACATCATGTAAAGAGGAACTTTACAACCTACCTGATGAATGAAGCCCGTCGTAGGTTTTACTCAGACTTTATTGCTGAAAATAACTCCAATCAAAGGAACCTATTCTCGGCAACAAAGAGGTTGCTAAATCAAGGTCATGAAGTACCTTTTCCACCAACTAGTGACAAGCTGCTTTTAGCCAATGAAATGG